TTCATTGTTTGCAAGTAGGATTATTTACTTACAAATTCTCAAAAATGTACCTCGTTAACCATGACGTGTCACATTTATTTTCAAAATTTATGGATGCATTTCAGTAAGGAAAATCAATCGAGAACCGTGAAACCGAGGACACCCTATAATTGACCGCGTGGTCACAATGCAGTGTTATAATTTTTTATAGCACATTAGCCGTTTAAATTAGCTGATGGACAGTTTTGACTCCCTTAGCATGCCGTTTTCAGCTTATCGGCCCTCGTGCCAGAAAACTATCAGGAATCCGACAGAACTGTCAGGAATATGATAGAAACAGCAGAAAGCAGGAAAATTTTGGTGCGTTTCGCAATCTTCCGTTGAATTATTGATGTCAGCATGCACTCAGATTGGATTTCCGTGTTTTATACACATTACCGAATAATAGCACTCGTGTAAAATGTAATCATGCAAGCGCATTAAACCATAATGTGCATTTCACAATACATTTTAGTATCGGAACTGATCCTTCGTGACGCCATCCCAATAACAAAAATGAAGTATTCGACACATTGATGCAACCATCCGTAAATTTACTACGTAAATTTACTACTAATCAATATGTATCTATTGAATTTCAATCGTTGGATAAGTGTTTAATGAAGTTACAAAATTAATGGAATTTCGTTTCGATTACCAAACATTTGCTTCGTCATTGAAATTTTGAAAACGGCACAAACTGTGCGATATTCTCCTAACAATTGTAAATGTAATTTTTCCAGGATTTATATTCCATTTTACATTTTATTCGTTTTGGAGTGATTCATATGTGTTAGCGAATATTCGAAGATGTGTCCTTTATACTTCTCCGAATTTATTTTCAAATAGAAATAAAATTCACTTAATATCTAGGCAAGTCGGAGCAAAGTGTGGCTAACCAGATCTATTCTGCAGGACATCACTATACAATCGAAAGCGTTTAAAACCAATTGTTCCGGTTATACGTTCTTCAACAATTTTAGCGTACTGCATGAATTATAGCCTGTTACTTGTACCTTCAAAGTCTCGTTTGATTTAATAAAGTTAGAAATTTAGAAAAGTTATTTCAGGTGACCTCAGGAATCGCCCCTTTCAAGAGCTCCAACATTTTTGGAACACTGATAGCGGGAACTTGGTCGCAAAGAAGTTTATGCGGACGTATTTTGCTGTATATACAAATAGTTTAATAAAGAATAACTTTATTAGAAACACGAATCATAATAGGCTCCGTGCACAAGCCAGAAATGATGTAAAGGTTTAGTTTGAAACAAAAGACAGTGAGATGTGTTCTGTACGCATTGGAACATAATCGATAGCCAAAACGCGCATCGCCTGTCGGTAACAGACACCTTGTCAATAATAGACAAATCGCTGAAATTGAATGTGCAATGTGTGTTATGTTTTTATCAATCGCAGAAATTTTAATACTTAGAAACATCTATTAAGTAAGATAAAGGGATGAAATAAATAAGTCATGGTCGACTCAGGAAAATTTTTGTTTTCTTTATTTTCTGTTCACCATGGTTACCAATGTAATAATAACTGCATCACTCAATATTGAAGTCATCGGTGCAGAATACATGCAAACTGTTGCACAGCTGGATTTATTTTCCATTTCGTTCTTTGCAGTAATTCTATAAAATCAAAAATAGAAAGTTTAAATATAAATAAAGATTATGATATATACACACATGTGTATATACTTATAATAAAATAAATTGAATTATTGTTACTCTACCGGGCATAACATCAACGCCAAGGGATGTTTACAATTCATCCAGGTGGCACACTAAAATATAAGACAAAAATGTGTACATGAAATATAAGACGGAAAATACATTTAAAGAATTTAATAATACTGTTGCATTATTCTCAACATATTAAAATAATTAAGTGAAATAAACATTTATGTTACAATTAGTGTAGACAATAAAATTTTATTGTGGACTTGTAGCAAAAATTTTATTTTGCATGTGCAACAAAATTGCGTAACTTGTAGAAGACATATATNATTAAGTGAAATAAACATTTATGTTACAATTAGTGTAGACAATAAAATTTTATTGTGGACTTGTAGCAAAAATTTTATTTTGCATGTGCAACAAAATTGCGTAACTTGTAGAAGACATATATAAAAAATTATGACGATATTAGTATAATTTAATAATATTGTTACATCATTTTCAACTTATTAAAACTGTTAAAACAAACAATTCATTTTCATTTAATTGTTTTTCGTACAATCGTCTTAGAAGATTTTTATTTTATATAAATATCAGCAGTCCGTAACAACGAATCTGATGCATCTCACAAATGATTACTTACTGCCTGCGTGGGTGGAATCAACCATCCCGACATGCACAAGACAGAAATAATGAGGATGTAGAACCCAAATACTTGAGACATGCCTGTGTCAATTTTCTTCGCTCCCGTTTGATTTCAATGTGAAACTGAAAATTTTGTTCTTCCTTTTATACCACTCCGCAAATTAAAAGTTACGACATTAGTTTTACCACATATTGACGCTGCGAATGATAACCACCTCGACTGATATGGTTGGTATAGTCGTGACCAAAATGAGTCGAACATTTACGAAAAACATTTTGAAAGAGCGACAAAGTTTATGTCGTTATATTCACTGTACTTAAAGTAATAACAACATTTTGGTCACGATTATACCATCCATATCTGTCGAGATAGTTGTAATTCGTAACATTAATGTAAGGTAAAACGAATGTTGTAACTTTCAATATGCGCAGTACATATTACATATTATATACATACATTATATACCGTATAAGATATATATCACGCCATACCATATAAGATATATCAAAATCAGAAATAAGAAACCGTTAAATGTGTAACCGTTGCACGAGTCGCAAAATTCAATTTCATATGTATAAAATGCACCAATCTATTTTGCATTTCAAGTTAAAATGGCTTCGACTGCAAACGGTTAATAATTTCTATACAACATTATTTTTACCAAAGTAGTTGACGGACATCTTTTAATAATTTTTAATAAATACCACTTTCTTTGTTCTATGTTTTCTATGTGATCATTTCTCGACTTTTGCAGTGGTCATCAGAAAATTAAGTCGGTAAATTAGGTAATATAAAAGATCGATAATAGATAGAAAAAATTACGTTGCAAAGTAGATATTGTTGAGTTACTAACGCTTTACCCATTGAAAGTAGAATTTCATATTACTTAATTCTATCAGAAAAAAGTATAAAAATCATTGATAATTATACAGAAAAGGGTAGATCTAGCCAACTTTGATATCGAAATTTGTTGTCAAGGTTTTCTTCGAGGTACACAACAAAAATTTTGTTTCTATATATATATTCATTGAATTTTCAAAAAGAAATAAATTTTGCCTTACGTTTGCGTTACGTCTAGATTCGGACTAGGTTAGGTGTGAGTTAGGCTTAGTATATGTAGGTTTGAGACATCGTGTTGACAATGTTTCTTTATACATGTTTCAGGAATTCAGTCATTCCGCCAAAAATCGAAATTGAATTCAGACCGAACTATAATCTAACCTATTTTTTGTATTCTTTTTTGTATTTTACGTGCAGGAAATCTGCTCGCCAGACTTCTCCGCCGGGGGGGAGCGGGACGAGGGTAGTGTGAGGTGACCACGGCGACCTACGGATGCTGGTCCAATCGCTGGCGATTCAACGGGGGAGGTAACGATGGCCGGCCGCGTCCCAGGAGGAGATAAATCCTTCCCCCTTAAATCCATATAATTCGGCGGCGCGAGGGGTCGCACCCCGCACCGCGCCGATCCGGCGACCGCGCGAAAGGTGACCAGGGCCGCCGGGGTAGGGGGGTGACGAGTATATTGGATCATTATACTTCACCCTCGCCTGCTTAAGGCGACTCGTCACCCCCCACTCCCAACAGGGGTGGGCCTCCTCTGTTGACGGGCGGCGGGCAATGAAATCAGCATGGTCTGGTACACCCGGCACAGCGGCCGACTATAACCTAACCTAAACTTCACCTATGTCTAATTGAAATTTGTTGCAAATACGTCGCAAACTAAATCTGAGCAGCGATCACGTGAATAGGGAAAACATATAAGATGTCTGCTTTTTTTGTATAATTACCAAATCTTTTTTAACCTCAAACTGGTATAATAATTTTGACAACATAAATACTATGATCATCATAGACTCAAAATAAGAAGTGTAAAGAAATTTATTAATTCAGTTCTGTAGATGAACTGAACGTTAATATTTTATTCTCAGTTACCTTATAAAATAACAATAGGAAAACAACACAGGGATCAATCGTGACTCCAGTATGCTAGGTAAGTGTTATATTACAAGCACAAAAAGGATTAATACATCATGTTACTGAGGCAAATCTTCTAATTAACCATTGAAATTGTTGCTGTTGTTAGGAATAATAAAGAAATACGTGGCAGGAAGTCGTTCATTTTGAGGGACTATGATAAAATTGCCGGTGGGTAATGTATTAATAAAGAGTAGATATTTATGCAAATTCCCATTTGTATATTAATTATGATGATTAATGGCTATACATCCCTTGCAAAAAGTTTTCCATTGGTCAAATCAAATGTTAAAGATAATCGACGAAAATAAGTTTTTGCAAAACACGTTAGCATAGCGTAAGACAGACTATAATTAAAGCATCACGATGACAACTTTCAGAAGCTGATCACAATATTGTACATCGGGTTCTTAAGTGTTATTTTCAGCAGTAATTTTGTATATCTTGCCGAAAAAATGCTGTTGGGCATGATGGAAAAACAGACTTTACCAGTTATGCTGATGCACTGTGGTCGGGGTGGTAAATATAATTATTTTGCACATCAACACGCGTGTGTTGTCACGTTCCCTAACCTCTCCACTTGAACTGTCACGATGATTGTTCTGCACAGTTACTTCAAACTGGCACTCTTGCGCTGCAATTTCGAACACTTGTTACTCTACAATAGTTCACTGCACTGGGAGACGTTAATTTATCTTAATTGTTAATTTAACAATTTTCTTCTTGCATTCTTCTTTTTATAAACAAATATTGTTCAAACTCATTTTTGCTACTTTTAGTGAAAGATTTTAATGTTTAAGTGAAATCAGTGATTCAAATTAATTATGTGTGGATTACATGGTTGCTCATGGCAGATATAACTTATAATGATTAAATGTGTAGTCAAGTAAACTTAATGTCTAGACTTGCCAGGCTTCAGTAAACGTTTCTAAAAAATTGACAAGAATTCAACTCTGCAAATAAGTTCGGATTAAGAGATATGAATTGTTAACAAATGTTGCACAAATCATTACACGACATAGAAGAGACCTGTGCAATGTTATTAAAAGAGAAAATTTGTAACAGAAGACGATTAAGATCGATATATAAATGAAAAGGAAATTTTAAAGCACAATCCCAATAGATATAAATTGAAAACAAAGATAAATAATAAAATTCAATATAAATTTAACGTGAATCTGCGAAAAACAATAATATGAAAAATGAATTTTGTCACAGTATACCATCTCAGTGTGAACAATTCATTAATTTTTTAAATTAAGACCGTTAAAAAGAAAAGCAATAATATCTGTTGTATAATTTAAAAGTAATCTAATATTCTAATGTACTAAACTACTGTATAGTCGAAACATAAAACAGCAAAATAGGAATTATCGACAAATTCCATGAAAAAATATTATAACTTTATTTAGCGTAAATGGCACGAATTTTCGCATTGATTCCAATAGAATTTCTTTCCTAAAGAAGATTGAGCAGTTCCAATATTTCTCCAAGAAACTGGATCAAAGAAAGAATTTAAGCATACCTGGAGTACGAAAGAACTCTGTTTGCATTAAATCCATTTATTCAGCGTGTAATAAGCGTCCGGCTCGCTTGGTTTCTATTAACGCGAATAATTAATTCTGGTTTTCATTCAGCGATCTGAACCGCTTAATCGTGTGCCGGTCGCTAATGTTTATTAAGCGGTGTTGTGAATCATTCGGGAAATATGCCTCTATTTAGAAACCCTCGAATGGTCCGCGCGGGGATCAATGGAGCCGAAATCGAATAAACGAGGAATCAAGTGTCGATTGATTAATATCCTCCCACCATTCGTGCTGTTCTCTTTCTATTGTCATCCACACTTTTGTTTTCTCGAATTTCTGGGAGCCAGAGACTTTCATCACACACCGCTGCGTTTACTATATATGCATAATATAATACCGCACACTGCTCGATAACAATGAAGAACAAGACAACATTTAAAAAGAACGACTTTGTAAATTGAAAATGTATAGAAGTAGAAAGATCTGTAAATATACTAGGATATTTATATCTTACTCAACATCTATTAATACCTATAATAAATATTTTATACATTCATATAAAAATCGCTTCAAATAAACATTTTATCAATAATACAAAAATAGGATAATTTGTTCTTATTGTATTAAAATTATTTATCAATAACACCCGGAAAGAGGTAATTCCTGAGGTCATTTGAAGTAACTTTTTCATTAACGAAAATGCAATCCGCTGTATCGTATGAAAGGTATATATGATAGAGATTATTATATATGATAGAGACACGAATAATCGTTGCCCATTCTTATTTCAAGCTGAACAACAATTGGAGAGAATTTACTGTACAGTGTGATATACGATAAAGTGAAAGAATTATTGGTTGGACAACCAATGAAACAAAATATTGTACAATAGACCAAGTGACACAGAGACATGGCACACGATTAGAAATTTAGACACGGATGATTGTATTATTGTCTTCGAAAAGAGCTGGACATGGATTGATATTTTCAGTTCGTAAAAAATAGGTCGTATGATTTACGTTACAATTGTTTCATTGTAGTATAGCATTCTGGTTTTGTTTATACGCATCATTTTGTTGCTTTCATTTTGATTTTTTTGTTTTCCCAACTAATTTTCTACTTTTTGAAGAAACAGATTTTGAAGTTTCGAAAGTATTACAGCCGATTGTCAACGACTGGAAATAGATCGGTATACAGTAATGTAATAGATACCATTTTTTATTTATTGATATAGTATTCTTCCATAATGTAAATCTTTTTAATTTAATTTCAGTTTTCCAATTGTGGTACTGGAGCTCCCACTATTATCTTTTGCGGTATAATTGTAAGCTCGAAAACCTGAAAAGAGCAATCATTGTGTGTAAATAGACATATGGGAATATTAATTTTCATAAGAAGACAATTCCATTGAATCTTACCTCTGCACCTGGAGATGCTCCTAGTGCGCAAATCACTGTGTCAGCAATATCTTTGCCGCTTAATAGTGCTATTTTCTCTGTAATCTCGTCGCCGCAATTCAACGCGAATTTCAGTAGGTCTGTAAGAACACCTCCAGGATTGATAGTCTACAAACCAGAAGCAGACATTAATGAAAGAGTTGTGTATCTTATTTGACTAACATTCTGGAAGGTTTAAACGAATTACAATAAATTCTCTTCAATCGTCCCTCAGCTTGTAAATAAAAATGGATAATTTGGAAAGACGAAATACGATCATTCAAGCCTAGTGGCTCGTTTTTATAGTTATCGATTGACAACAACTATAAAAACGAGCCGTAAGGCTCAAATAATTGTATTTTCTTTTCCCAAATTGTCCATTTTTGCTCACAAGCTGAGGGACAATTGGAGAGAATTTATTGTATTCTCCTGTACTCTGTGACGTGATACATCGGGAAAGATACAAATTTTAAACGCACAATATTGCGAACCAACATTTTTAATAATCGTATAGATGTTGAATCATTAACACACGTTGAATGTCACGCCGGTTTTATAGAAATTGTCTGTGGCGCCACAATTTTCTTTTATGTGATACATATAATGTTGAAATATTATCTGCAATAGTGTATAAACATGTTTGACATGTTAGTTGCGACAGGGGTCACTGTTTGAATTGACGATGGTAATAATACAAAATTTTAGATATTGAAATGCCCCCGTGGCATTCAACGTGTTAATATTGAGATTTCAAAAGAATGTATTGAACTTTTATACGTTCGACGGAATTTATTAAAGTTTGGGGATCAATTAGAGAGTGAATAGATGGATTTAAAATAAACAAGATGGTTAGTAACAAAAATACCAAAACTTTACCGTGACTCTGATATCAAGGTTGCATGCCATGATTTCGTTGCGAAGTTCTACACCCAAAGTATACAGACTGGATTTGGTAACACTGTATATTCCAATTGGAACGCGGAAGGTTTCCGGATACCGTCCCGCTATACTATGAATTATACAAAATATTAATACCTATAATAATGTCCTAATTAAGGGTGTGCAAGATCCCGATATACTGTTAAGATTGTATCTTCTTGTACATGCAAAATCTTTCGATATGATTTATACAACTTTTGTAACATATGCATACAACCCTAAGAAAATTCTCACCTGCTGATATTTATTATATGGCCGGAAACATTGCGTTTTCTAATCGCATTTATGAATTCTCTCGCAAATATCATTGGCGCCATTAAGTTACTATTTATTAACTCCCTGCACTGCTCGATAGACGAATCTGTAATAACAATGAAATTACAGTAAATTCTCCCAAATTGTCCCTCAGCTTGGAATGATTATCCAAGCCTCGCGGCGCCTTTTTATAGTTGCCGATTCCAATAAATTCTCTCCAATTGTTCCACAGCTTGTAAAAAAATGGACAATTTAGGAAGACAAAACACGATTATTCGAGCCTCCCGCTCGTTTTTATAATCGCCGTTTATCCATTTTTGTTTGCATGCTGAGCAACATTTTGAGGGAATTTACTGCATCGACTAAGTTATAAGGTAATCTTGAGAACAAAATTATGCTATATTGGAAAATGCACATATCCCCTTCGTCATGACTTTCGAAAACATATTTTAAGAAAATTCTGTCAGTTTAATTTTGATCCTGGTTCAGAACTAATCTTTATAGAAAGTACTGTCGAAATCATTCCAATTCCCTTTATATCGAGGTGATTACTTTTTAGCAACTTCTTATCGATTTTGTGACCACTGTACCATTCGTCTTGCTCGCTAGTTTCCTACATTTAATGTCAAGATAAAGAAAAAGTAATGGGGAACATTTGTCGTCAGCACTTCTAGTAAGTACGACACAGTAATTTCATTCCGATTCTGAATTTCATGATTTTCCATCGTATTATCCATTAATAGGTGTGTCGCGGTTTTTATACATTGACAACAAGAATGAGAGAGTGAAATTTAAAAGAGTGTAAGAATTTCAGAATATCGATAAACTACGCCAGCTTATTGAAATTGTCAGTGAAAAGGAAAATGAATAATACAATCAGTAAACAACTCTACCAATGATCAGCGTCGGCATCGTGTTTCCAGCATTGTTCACCAGTATGTCAACGCCACCCAGTCTCTCCTCGGCCCATTTGAACGCTCTCAAAATATCATTCTCCTTCGTAACGTCGCACTGTATAGGGTAGAATTTGCTTTTGCCCAATTTTTCGGCCAATTCTTGCAGTTTATCGAATCGTCTCGCGAGACCAACCACCTGAATATCATGTTGAACAAGAGATTTTGCGATCTCCCAACCGATTCCGCTACTAGCACCAGTAACCAGCGCAACTTTTCCTGCCCACCTCTCCATTCTATTCATATAAGGTAAATTCGTAACATTAATCTGGTAATGCGTCCTGCTGTCATTATATACTAAATGGACGTACTATTCGGAGCTGAAAAAAATGGTCTCCGTCCACAAACTAAGCAACGCGAGGGGCAAAGAAAATCGATCGCCCGAATCACCTGACACCTTTGATTTTTCAGATTCTGGGATATTATTGGCTAAGTAAACGACGCGAAGGATAAGCGAAATTGGTCGCCTGCTACACCTAATCACAATTTCTGTCCGATGGTCAACGTAGCCAATCGTGGCTCAGAATCTGAAAAGTGGAAGGGATTCGAGTGGAGTGGATAACCGATTCCTCTTGCCCCTCGCGTTGTTTAGTTTGATGGTAAAGGTCATTAATGACAGCTCCCAATGTATTAAGTAGAACCTTGTTTAACAAACAGCTAAACGGACTCATATTCGTCTGAATTTATTTATACTAACTTTAAAGAACAGACAAGCGATGGCTTGCATACATTTTGTCGAAAATTACACACAGATGATGCGTATATCATTTATTAAAGTTAATAAATTTGCAACGCAATGATGAATGTTACATACGATATACTTTAGAACACACACATTCGTAAATATTTAATGTATTTAATTCTGGAAACCAATGTTAATGATTGTATTTGGAAAAAGGAGTTTTATATAACAAAACACAATTAATGACGGAATTTAGAATCAAAAGTAAGAATCTTCTGCTTTGCAAATACTGCAAAATAGATAAGTATTTTGTATTCGGCCTTAAAAGACATTCCATAGTGAGGGATAACAGGCGAATCACATCTCTGCAAATTATCTTGATCCTCGAATCACATTCAAGACTTTTAGATTTCGAAAACACAGGCGTCATTTGAGGCTAGCAAAGAGTATATATACGATATTCAGTATTTTAAAAGAACTCTTTTTAACTTATTAAATTGACCCTTGTATTGCTTTCATCTTTTATGCCTTATATCTTTTTAAAGAGAAATTCTACACATCCAGGAAGAACATTGAGTTATTATACAAGGCAAGTTACTTTCTTGTGTTTTTGAGTAGAAAGAAAATTATTTAAACACTTCAAGTGACACAGAAAAGAATGTCTAAGATTACTAATTCACCCAATATTTTATTCAACTTGATCTCATTTATCAATTATCAGACACAGCCTCTTAGGTTGCGCAACATTGCACAATAAAAGCTGCAGCATCGCTATTAAAAGACTTTAGTTGCTAACACCATCTTCTTCAATTATGTGAATCTATTGTTTCTTTTTTAAGAACATTGGCTTGTGAGTATTCCAAGATGAAGTGGTACACACATGAAACTGTACGTGTACTCTTAATAAATAGAGATGCTTCTTCTTTATTTATGTCAGCAAATAAAATTGTAGAATATATAACATGAATATTCAATATTAAAATAATCAGGAATTAATTTGTCCATGAGGAGATATCTTAATGATAGGATGATGGGTATGTAGCAGACTATTTATATATGTATCTTACTCTTCTACATACTTATTATCCTATCATTAAGATATCCCCTCATGGACATACAAACAATAAAACGATTAGTCATTCTCTTCGAATAATCCGACATTTCATGCTACACGACTTAATGTTTAATTGGTGGACATATTTATGTCTTTCATTTCTTTTCATATTCAATCTTCTAGGAAGGAGATTTAATGATTGCGAGCGAGCAGTTTAAAATTCGTGCATTCGCTCTTTACGAATTTCATAATGAATGAGCATACCAAGCAATCGAAGTTAAGCGAATTTCAAGTGATCACGGGGAAGATTATGTTAGTGAATAGTTATAATGATTCAAATGATTTGAACGTCCATCTGTAATCAAAGATGACGAATAGCGTGAATATACACGATGTTCCATAATTACGTTAACAGCCTAAAATAGGGGGTACCTGAGGTCATTTGAAGTAACCAAAACAATGATCAATGCGAGGTGAGCGCGCGATTTACAAGGCGATCGATCCATCGAGTGCAACGTACTTCGACCGTGGAGCGTGACAAAAGAAGGGGGCTCCGTGCTGCGTTCGAATCAATGAACAAACCACGGAGCATGAATTTCCGATTTCTTTTTATTACGTGACAGTGATAATGTTAAGAAAAACATTATTCATCCTTATATCAAAATGTCTGAAGAATATTTACTAACTTTTCGAACCCGAAATAATAAGTAATTTAACCGTGATAGCCATTTTAATTTTCTGATGTGCATGACATCTCATGTGTACCATATGAAATTTGTAAGCAAGGTGTACAGTGAAGATTAACAAAGTACGTAAATGATATTTTAATTTAAATAATTCTGTGTCCGAATAGAATACAACGAACAATTCTCAAAGCTAATTTAATAATAAATAATCACGTGACAAGATACGCAGGGTGTGTATCACAGAACGACATTATAAATTTTAATTTGAAAAGGTTCGAAATATCAAGCAGTATAACAGTATAACATAAGCATTAACCTTGAAATAGTGGCCAGTATTTTAATGACTCAATATTGATAGCAATATCATTAGTGAGTGATACGGAGTCAGTTTGGTTTCAGTCACCATTATCGATACAGAGTCAACTTTTTGCCAAGTCATTACCATTGTAGTGACACGAAGTCAGTGTGACGTACACCGGCACTAGCATTAGCAGTGAATTTGACGTACTTCGCTAACCTGTGGTTGACTTTGATCAATATCAAAGTGGAGGATCATCTTGTAAATAACTACCAGTTCTTCGAGTGTAAATAGTTAATGCACGATTTTTGCTAGATTTAGGGATTGCTATAGAAGCTGAACAATCGATTGTGAATATCGAATATGTTGCATTTCCGACTTTCTGAGATAACGGGGTGTAAAGTTATTCCTGTTTATACAATAGTTGGCAGGTCGTCCGGACAGTCGCTGACAATGCAGACCCTTATTGCACTGAAACAATCCAACAGAACAACTGGAAACTATAGTAACATATTTTATTTAAATTGATTTGAATTTTATTATAATAACTTAAAATAATTAAAGTCGACAATAAACTCAACTCCGTCATAAAAGATGTATGTATTTTACTTATAATAGAATATAGTATAATAGGTTTTACATTTTGGATTTTGACTGGTAAGAGTAAGAGAAACAGAATAAAAGAAAACAATGTTTAACTAGTTGTGTTCAAGATAGATGAATTCTAATCAAAGTCAATACAATATTTCTGTTTTTTTTTCTACTAATGATCGACTAATAACGCAATATCTACAACTAGCGCACACTAGACTCATCTATAGAGACTGTTATCATAATATACTGTTAACTGAATTTTGATCAAAATTTGACATAGACCCTTATTCGAGATTTACATTCAATTGTACGATAAGTGAATTGACGATACGATTTTTTGACACATGCACTGGCTGGAATAAATAAATTTTACTTAACAATTATTATATTACAGAATACAGTGTGGTACAATAAAGTGTATGAATTTCTGGTTGGATGACGAATTAAACAAAACATCATACTATAGACGAAATGAAACAGATAACTTTTGGTTAGACATGGCATAACGCAATTAGAATTTCAGATATGGATGATTGAAATATTATAAACGCTTTTAAATTACGATATTCTTACTAGAACGACTTATACGACTTCTTGTTCATGCTTTTAACCTTTTAGCCGTGAATGACGTCGTATACGTGTGTATACACGTCGTAAGGAAATTACAATTTTACATCTTACAACAAAAGTACTTCTCCTACGATTTGTAACGAATACTTCTCCTACGAGGTTAAAATGCTTGTGAAACACATCCACAAGCACATTTTAGAATAATTCTTCTTTCTGCCGAAAGAAACTGCACCCAGTGTCATCGATAAAATGCGTACAAAATTGATCTTAAAAATAAATTAACGCAGCTAAGTGGTTAATTCAATTTGAGTTTCCCAATTGTAGTACTTGAGTTCCAAATACATACTACGTTTTGTGGTACAATTGTAAGCTCGAAAATTTGAAAAGGGCGCTCGTTGTGTGTAAAAGAACATATGAGAATATTTATATTCATAACGAACCAATTCCATTCAATCTTTCTTCTACACCTGGAGGTGCTCCTACTGCGAAAATGACTGTGTCAGCAATATCTTTGCCGCTTAATAGTGTTATTTTCTCTGTAACGTTGTCTTCACACTTCAGCGCGGATCTGATAAAGTGTGTGAGAACACCTCCAGGATTGATAGTTTACGAATCATAACCAAATTTTAACAAAAATGTCGTGTATCATATCCGATTAACATTACGGGTGGATTGAACTAATTGGTCTCTTGTGCTCTGCGACGTGATAAATCGCAATAAATACAAATTTTAGTTGCGTCATATTGCGATCTAACATTTTCAATAATTAAACGGCATCCTGTAGATACCTAATTATAGATGTTGAATCACTGATGCTGAGATTACAGAAGAATGTATTGAATTTTTATATGTTCCATGAAATTAGACTTTTGGGATCAGTTACAGAGTAAATAAATAGACTTGAAATAAATGAAAAGATTAATAAAAATATACCAGAATTTTACTGTGATTTTGATATCAAGGTTACATGCTATAATTTCATGGCAAAGTTCTACTATAGGTATTGTATATCTATTCTTCTGCTCGATAGGCGAATTTGTAATAACAATGAAATGACAGTACATTCTCCCAAATTGTTCCGAATTGCGAGCAGTTCGCGCTTCGTTCATTATTCCTGCGGTGCCCATTCACTCAGCCGAATCATCGCGATTTGTCGACCCTAAGGGTTACGTAATTGATCGCGCGATCGCTACGACGCCTAAAACACAATTGTATACGGCACGCAAGGTAGCATGTGCTGTCCCTAATAGTATTTATTCGTAGCATTGAATAAAATTATCATCTTTTATCTGTGTCTTTATTATGAGGCTTTGAATAAATCTTCGATTCAATTTTGATGGCTTGAATAAACATGCTGTCAGGCGTCAATCCCCGAATGTCAAAAACCCAGCGTCTAACTAACAGCATAC